GCCGTCCTGCGAGGGGCAGCGGCAGCGCGGCCGGGCCTGAGCGACACTCAGGCGTCCGCCGCGGCCACCTCTGCGCCGCTAGGACCCCGGCGGGCCCGGAGCGGGGGCCTTCGCGGCCGGAAGTGCTCGCCCGAGCGCTGCGGGGACGGAAGCCGGCCGGCAGAGGGCGTCCTGCCCGGACGCGACTTTCCTCACAGCGGCTCTACGTGCTCCTGAGCGGCTGGTCGGGGCCCGCGTGGCGCTGGGCCGCCTGTGGCGTTCGCGTCACGGCCTTGTTGCCCTGGAAACGGCTGCCGGCCGGAAGGTGGCTCGGAGAATGTCTGTAGTACCTGGCCCTGCTGTCGGGAGTTTAGGGCCAGATTTCACGCCCGAGACGCCCAGGACAACGCCGGGCTCTGCGCAGACTCCGAGTTACTTGTTTCCCGTCGTCTTTCATGAAGGCGCCGCTTGGCCCCGGGACTGCGAAGGCAGAGTCTAAATTCAGGTTGTTGGAGCGGCCAGCCAGGCACCTGGATGAATGCGAGCGCGCGAGCGCCCTTCCCTCCCACACCTGTCCCTCTTAACCCTGCCTCTTTTTTTATTTCTTTTTTCATAGCATTTATCATTCTCTGAGATTAGTAGATTGTTCATTAAAACATAAATTCCATAATGAATTTTATTTAATGCTGTATCCCGAGGGTCTAAAATTCTGTCAAGCAATAATAGGTCCTGACAATTCGTAGGCAAGATACGGAACAAGCCTAAGTGTCCATCAGCACGTGAATGGGTAAAGTGAATGTGGTATATATGCAATATGGAGTATTATTTGACTGTAAAGAAAAAGAATTATGTCATTTGCAAGAAAATAAATGGAAGCCGGGCATAGTGGCGCACGCCTGTAATCCCAGCACTCGGGAGGCTGAGGCGGGAGGATCGTGAGTTCGAGACCAGGCTGGGCTACAAAGTGAGCTCAACGCCAGCCTGAACTGCAGAGCAAACGCTGTCTCAAAAAGACAAAGCAAAGAAAAGAAAGAAAATAAGTGGAACTAGAGAACATCATGTTAAGGGAAATACGCCAGATTCAAAAAGACAAGTACTACATGTTTTCCCTAATATGCGGCGTCTACAAAAGTACAGAGAAGACTATCATTAGACAAGAAGAATGGAACACGATGGAGAGGTGTAAGGGAAGACCTCGGAGGGTGGATGTGATCAAAACATACCTGTATGGAAATACCAGCCTGAAATCTAGTGTGTTGTACAATTAATGGGCACTAAGAAATACTAATTTTTTAAAGTAGATAAAACCGTTTCATCTATTCTTAACTACAAAAAAGTGCTTTATAAATACTTTTTGAATGAGCCCTGCTTTTCAAACTGAGCAAGGCGTGTCCGCGATGGCCGCTAATAGTGAACAGCCGTTTGTGGAAGGGCGGGTCCTGCTCAATCTTCCAATTTTTCAATAATGTTTAAATTTTGAGAATTACTGCAGCGTTTTAAACAAGTTAAAACCATTTTTCACTTCTGGTCTAAGGTGTTGCTGTTGTGGATGAGGGTCCCTCACATGCGGAATAATTCCAAAGGGTATAGGCGCTTTGTACTGTATGGTTAGGCGCACACATGAGAGGGAAGTATTTGCAGGTGAAGAGCTGGTCTCCAAACAGCAGTGAACTGGGATATCCAAGGTATGTTTGGAGATGCTCTGAATAGATTTGGCCAGCTTTAAGGTTCAGTGTTGGAATGAAAAACAAGATTAGCTAGAGATAAGAGATTAAAGAGAACCTTAAAAGCAAGCAAAGAAATTTTAGTTTTAGCATATAAGGCATTAAGGATATTTGAGCCGAATAGTATAATAAGAAGTTCTTGGAATATAACCAGTGCGGGGTTATGTGTGTGAGTAAGCAGACTCAGACAGTGTAAGAGGTTATTGCAGCACTTAGGCATAAGAGAGGAGTTCTGTGAAGGGCAAAAGGTTGAAGATTAGCCTTTGAGAAGCGTTCACATTTTACAGAGACTCTTAAGTCTTCTACTTTAATTTTGAATATACATAAATGTCTAGAGAAATTCACCTTTCTGTGTATGTCCTCAGTCTTCTCCTGAGTTCCTCCAATTGACTAAGTTTTTTAAAGGTGACTAGGAGCCAGCCCGTGTTGAAAACCAGAGGCCACATCGATTGTTTACTGTTGCTTCACCTAATGAAGTGATTAGGCAAGTAAAAGACAACTCAGCATCAATGCACAATGTCTGGTGTACAAAGAAATGCGGCATTTCCATTTTTCCTAAGACAACCTTTTTTAAGCCTCTCCTGCCTTGATGACAAAATAATTTTAAGAGCATCCGCTGATTCAGTCTCCTCATGTTTTTCTTACTCATTCGGGTTTAGACTCGACAAAGTTATGCTGTCTTTGCCTAAGTCCACTTTCCTGCACACGAGACACCCGGATGGACACAGCGGGGTAGCCCTGGGTGTGTTCTGGTGCTGCCAGTACGTATTTTGTGACTCTCCTTTTACAACACGGGCACACTGCTGCCCCAGTTAGGCCACAGTGAGACATATTCTAGTTGTTGGTGTAGAAACACTACATAAGATTGGACAAATCTTTTTCTTTCCTCCCAAAAGTGGTGGGCAAATCTTTTTTTTTAAATTTTTTTTTAATTTTAAAGATAAAAGGAGGGAAACATTAACAGACATACAACATTTTACAACATATCACAAGCACAATACAGACAATACAGAGTTACAAACAAAGTGGTAGGGAATTAACAATGGTGGTTGTATTACATATTGATATCTTCAAAGTGGCTTCTCATGAAAACAGATATAGACATGCAATACTGGTCAACCAAAGACTCATTGACAGTTTCTTTCAGCATAGAAACAGAAGACAGAAGAACAACCATGCTATCTATCCTGTATATACATACATACAAAATTTCTCCTTCGTTCCCTTCTCTTTTCCCACATCCCAGAAGCCCTTTACTCTTCAGTGGTTTCCTCATTTCACAGTGTCTATCATACCTCCGAGTTTAAATTAACTCTTTCAAGTTTTACACTAGTGACACAATGTGGTGCTTGCACATGTATGATTTATTTCACTTATGAGTATGGTCTCTAGTTGTGACCATTTAAATATAAAGGCCTCGAGTTTATCTTTCTTTACAGCTGAGTAATATTCCATTATATAAAAGTACCATAATTTTCTTATCCAATCCACGGTGGATGGACATTTGGGTTGTTTCCACATTTTAGCAATTACAAATTGTGCTGCTATGAACATAGGTGCACATATATCACTGTGATATGATGTTTTTAGATCTTCTGGGAAAATACCCAGCAGGGGGATAGCTGGGTTGAATGGGACCTCTAAACCTAGTTTTCGGAGGAATCTCCAAACTGATTTCCACAGTGGTTTCACCAGTCTGCATTCAGTGGTGGGCAAATCTTGAAAAGAGAAGCATCTTGGAAGATACCCTCTTCAGTGAGATTTCTGCATGTTTTTCAGCAAAGGGGAGGCCGCTGTACTCCAGCAAGGACCAATATGTCCCTCTGTTGGTCCAGAACATAAAGGTAAATCTATCAGCTCAGAGTTCTCAGGGGTTTACATACGGATAGCCCCGTCTTGAATCTTAGGGTCTCATTCCTGTCCCAGCAGAACTCTGACTGTAGTGTGGGAGACATGCCGTGGGTGATGAGTCCAGCTTTCTTTTATTATCATTTTTAACTGACTACTTACAACCTTTAGATTCTGGTACTCTCACGATCAGATCCTGAGTGATTTTTAGGTTACTGTAATTTCTCCTCTTTGATTACAATAAGTAAAGCTCTCCCCAACCCTCTCTTGATGAGTGGTATATCACTTTTGAATGAATTTCCAAAGTTTTTGGTTGGAGTGTATTTTTTAGTGAATTCTTTATTTTGGAATAGTTTTAGATTTACAGGAAAGTTAAAATATGGTACAGAGTTCTCATTTACCTGTCAACCAGTTTGTCGCGTCATGAGCACCTTACAATGCCATGGTACATTTCAGATCCAATCCAATTAGTCAGCGGTCCCCAAGACCATTGCCACGCTCAGGATTCAGCACATAGCTGCATTCGTGGTATAAATTATTACCCTGAAAGGATAGAAAGCCATACTTGGTTTTTCTTATTTACCTTGATAATCTTGAGATGAGCTAGCTAGATATCTGTAGACTGCTTTTGAGTCTGGTTTCCTTGTGCTTAGGTGGGAGATTATGGTTTTGGAAAGAATATTACAGTGCCCTTTTCATTACAACATAGCAAGAAGTTCATGTATGCACGTGGTATCTCCTGATGTTAACTTTGAGCATTTGCAAATGTAGGGTTACACAGTGAGTTCAAGGCTGGCCTGGACTACGTAGCAAAGTACTCTGAAAAAGAGCAAAACGATACCTGTAATTCCAGCACTCTGGAAGACAGAGGCAAGAGAATCATAAACTCAAGCTCAGCCTGGGCGATTTAGTAAGACCCTGTCTCCAGGGGGAGATGTGGAGATAAAACAGAGTATGAAGGCCCTGAGCTTAATATTCAGTAACTAAAGCGTGCGCGCACACAC